TTTTAGATTTACATTTATATATACAGGATGTTTTAAAATATGTGGGCATAACTTTAGGGATGATTTCAGTACTCTAAAATAAGAAAACAAGTTCATGTAATCATATGCCCGATATGACCTTCTTCCAAAATTATAGCTGTTCGAATTCTAAATACAGTAATCCCTCCATTTATTCAGTCTCTATTTGTGCAGAATCACTTTAACGTTCTTGAACTAACAAAGCCTAAATGTCACTACGATATATTATGTGAAAACAAATTCGCGGATTGCCCAGTGTTATCTGTTTTGTAATTGTGTAAACTTATCTGCAGTTGTGTAGTGAACATTTGTAATGTGATAAAAACAATGATGAGATTAATCTATTTATATGTTGTTTTTGTGGAATCAATTACTTGTGTCAATAGAAGGATTACTGTATATATAAATATTAATTTTGATAAATAAATAAAAATTACATTATTGATTATAATTAATTGTAGAGTAATGCTTGAAAAACGTATACCAAGAGAAACAGTAGAATCAGAGTACAAGAAATATATTCCAAAGGAATGTATTAAACGTCATGCTTTTTTTATAAAGAAACCTATACATAATGCACTTGGACGTATTTCTGGACATGATGCATCTTATGTAAAAGAACAGTACCTGAAACAATTTGAATGTATGGCACCAAATTATCCATATGAGGAATATAAAGCTTTAATGGATAAAGGTGTTCCAAGCCCTCCAGCTAAAGTAGTACTTAGGGTAAATTTTGAGGAAGTAAAATATTGCGAAACGGAATCTGGTGTTTGGAATCAACTTTGTGCAATAGAAGATCTTTGTTTTATTTCTATAAGGTAAAAATAATTCATTATTAATTCAATAGTACCTACTATTTTTCTATTGGATTATTGATTTATAGAAAAATACATTATTTTGGATTATATATAATGTTATATACTGTTTTATTACAGACAAGACAATACTGTAGAAGTATCTAGAAAAAATGGAATACCATCATATTTAAAATTTGGAGCAAGCAATCTTCTTATGTCATTTGTCTCTGCTTTGGATGGTTACTATCGTTTAGCTATTAAATGGACTTTTAATCTGTGTAGAGATGTCACTACACCAAGTTTAGAAAGACTGCATAAACTGAAATGTCATGGACCAGTTGGGTAAGATCATTATTACAAAAATTATCTTTCAAAATCATATATTTTCTTGAAATAAATTATAATTTAGAAGAAAAGGAAAAAGTAGTAAAATTATTCTGGTAGAAAGGAATTTGCATATGGAAAAATTGAAGAAAAGCGTGCCAATCGTCCAGGATCTTACATAATCCGTGAAAGTGAAACGGAGTATAATGTTTATTATTTTGATTACTGTGGCAAAGATGGAAATATAACGTCACAAAGGATAGAAGATAGAGTTAATACATTTGCAATACCAAACAGTATACAAACATTTAAATCCTTAGGACATTTTATCTCTTCATGTCAAGATTCCGAAAGTCTACCACATCTTTTAGAATGTTTACCACCCTCTGAATATGGTGTGTTAAATGATATTCTCTTTTTTTTTTTTATATTAACTATCATCAGGATCAAAGATTTTTTGTTTCCTTTTTTTGCAGACAAATCACCATTATTAATTTGCGCACTAGAAAAAATGGGAGGCGAAGTTGCTGCCGATGAAGAAATCATTGCATCTCTTTTAGAACATGGACCTCGTTGTGTTCCTCGTAATCAACTGCAAATTTATAGAACTTTACACCCAAAAAGCAACGATTTTTTAAATATATCATTTTTAAATAAACCATCACCCACGATATTACATTTGGCAATGTGGCATGTTACAAAAGGCAAAAAGTTGGAAGTTGCACTTAAAATGCTCAAAGATGAGGAATCACGTTCCACTAAAGAATTTTTAGAATTAGCTGGCAAATGGAGTCAATTAAGATCAGGTGCTTTAGTAAGGTAGCTATATAAATTTTTATTACAAGTTATTTTTATATTGGATGAAATCAATGATTATAAAAATAAACAATTCTTTCTTTGTTTGGTTCGCAGACTATATGGTTTAACTGTAACACCTACAATCGGAATGTTATTAGAATTAGTAGGAACTGGACCATTAGATGCATACTTAAGTAATATTTCTTCACCATCTGTAAAAACAGTTGATATGGTGGAAGCAGCTGCATGCTTAGCAACAGCATTATGGCATTTGGTACTTATATTTCATCTTTTATTTTAAATATAATCTTAGTTCATTCTTTTTGGTTCTTTATTAAATTTTTAAAATACACTTGCAGGAAGAGAATGGTGTTGTTCATGGAAACATTAGATGTAAAAAACTTCTTGTTCATGCACACACAGCTAATAGTTTTATAGTTAAATTAACCGATCCTGGTCTTTTTACTTATACAGATAAGGAGTATGTTTTTTATATATACATATTTATATTTACAATGTGTAGTTGTGTGATTAATATTTTAATATACTATATTTTTATTGTATTGTTAATAGTATACATTGGTTACCACCCGAACTTTATTCAAATCCAGAAATTGCAAAATGTAGTTTCCAGACAGATATATGGGCTGTAAGCACTACAATTTGGCAAATTTTTTCAAGAGGAGCAGATCCTTCCAAAAATCATAACGTGAATGCCGTTAAAAAGGTTTATTATAAGAAATCATTATTAATTACAATTAAAGAGTAAATATATATCCTATATTTATACTTAATTATCCAACAATAAATTTTCAGGATTATGAAAGTGGTAAACGTTTACTTATGCCAGTAACCTGTCCACTAGAAGTTTATAAATTGATGTTAGAATGTTGGGGTGAACCTAATGGCATAAGAAAACAACCTCAAGCAATAATGCGTGATATCAATCAAATTCTCTATCAAGTATACAATTCAAGAAGAAAGCACGCATATGCAACTGCGTTTCCTAAGTTATTTCATGATTCAGATCATATACATGAAGAAGATTCTTCTGATACACCAGACGATAAATCAATAAATTCTGGATCACATGCGAGTAGTCTTATTACTGATAAAACTAGTTTACCTTGGGATGACGATGACAGTGAGCACAAGAGACAATATTTTTTATTATTACACGTAAATTAAATCGCTTAGTTGTTTCTTTTTGTTTGTAGATATAAAAGAATTAATTAACATTAATGAAAGTTGCACCAGTAGTGCTGAAAAACTTACAAATTATTTAAGCTTTGGAAATGATAAAGCTAGAGATACAAACAGCTGTAATGATCAAACGATGGCAGGTGTTATTAATTGTTCAGATCACACAACACATGCTTTTCATGATATTACTCATGACAGTAGTATTGGTGATGTTAGTATAGTTAATAATAATTGTAGTAGTGTAACTGATCTTTCTGGAATGCCACCTGCTTTGGAATTGAATGAGAATACTGTTGTTGTCATACAAGGCCGAGTAGGTCAAGGATTTTATGGTGAAGTTTATAAAGGTATGCTGGATAGAAAAAAAGATACAGAACCAGAAATAGTGGCTGTAAAAAGGTTAAAAAGTCATACTTTAGAAGCCAATGTGCATGATTTTCAAAGGGAGATATCTATTATGAAGGTAAATTAAATGGTATCGCGTTATTTTTTTTCTTTTTCTTATAGTATTGCTTCTACTCACAACTTATTTATTCTTTTTTTTCTCATATATTAATCTCTATTGTGCAGACTTTAAAACATCCAAATGTCGTAGCAATTTTGGGTGTTATAACAGAACCTGAATTATATTTAATAATGGAATATGTAAAACATGGATCACTTCAAAGTTATTTGACTTTACAAGGACAAAAACTTACTCATGGAAAATTACTTGGTTTTGCCTTAGATATTGCCACTGGTATGGATTATCTTGGGCAAAAAAAAATTGTTCATAGAGATCTCGCCGCAAGAAATATCTTAGTTGCAGATGAGAGTAGAGTAAAAATTAGTGATTTCGGTTTGGCACAAGTAACCGGAAATAATGATTACTACATACTTCAAACTATTAGAGATCTTCCAATAAAATGGTTAATATATATTATCTTTTCTGCTTATATTTATAGTCTTTATATTATTTTTAGTCTATTATTAAATTTTGTTGTTGTATTACTAATTTTTCTTTTAAGTGAAACAAATCGTTTTTATTATATTACAGGTATGCACCAGAAAGTTTAAGAGATGGCAAATTTTCAGCACGTTCAGATGTTTGGTCCTTCGGAGTAACAATGTATGAAATATTTGGTTTAGGCGAAGATCCAAAGTTACCAGCTATTGGGTTGGATAAAAGTGTAAATGAAATTAATGGTATAAAGACAGTTTTAGAAGATGGAGCTGCTGAATTATTAGCAGCTCTTGAAAGAGGTAGTAGGCTTCCTTGTCCGCCAACTTGTCCACAGAATATTTATGTTAAACTTATATATCCATGTTGGCATTTGCAAAGTCACAAGAGACCGAATTTTGCATCTCTTTGTAGAAATATAAGAGAATTTCTTAACCATTATTAAAGTATTTAAGGAAATAGTTTTAAATAATAATGTTCCTTAAGGAATAAATATCTAGTCGACGATTTTTTTCGCGACGTGTTATGTATTACAAATATATTCAATATTTTGTTTTAAAAATGTTTCAATGTCCTCGTTATGTATCCTTCCCCAATTTCCTATAAGTCATAAGACTATCTATCTACAATGGGTGGTCGGTTAATAAACAGATTGGACAACAAACAAGATTTTAATAATTTTAAACAAAACCTTTTTATGTGTTTATTAACTGACCACTTACTGTATTATTTACATTATTTTTTGCTTTTACATTGAATAGTCAAAAAAAAAATTAATTTTTATTCATTTATAAGCCAAGATAAATTTCTATATAATTTTATATATTTATGTATAATAAATTTATTTT